TAATTTCTTTTCAGGCTTACTCTTTCTTGTCAACTTGTTCAAGTCTCCGGTGAAATTCAGCAGCAGCCTTAGAGAAGTTCACCACAGCAGAAAAAAGAGGATCTACAAAAGGAAGGACTTTGTGAAAACTGCAGAGTATTTACTGATAGTAATTACTGATTAGCATTACTAATACTGATTGTATTTACTAATATACCTTTCAGTTGTCCAGTTGGAGAAAACCTGCATTTGTCTCCCTGATACAATCACATTAATTTTGTCGTTTTTCCATAATAGATTAGCTTCCCTAGTGCAGACTTTAAAGAGCTGCACTACTAGTAATAACAGACAAATACCTTGAGCAATGAGACCAACAGTAAAGCAGAATTCTTGGTAAAGGTTTCACAAGTATACATCTTCCCTCTGCCTGGCAAGGAAAAGAATGGCTGGCATTGCAAACTGAGAGCTCTGCAGTTTTCTTTCTAACAAAGGGATGCAATGTAGTGTTTAGGTATAAAAAGCCTGATTTTTATCAAAAAATACCAGCTCCTCCAGCAGACTGTGGAAGAACTGTGGATTTCACTCTAGGAGCATGATGTCCTATTCATGGCATAACAGAAGAGTGTGATATGTGTATTGAACAGTATTAGGTGAGACACAAAAGAAACAGCTGTTGTGCAACACAGTGATAGACACAGTAGATTAAAGTAGCCAAGACCTGTGCTTGCTCTGCACTGGAGTTCTGGCACAGGTGGTGTCTGCCACAACCCTGTGTGCCATCCCGCAGCACTGCCACTCAAACCCCAGGATTTTACCTGTTATCTCTGACTATCTACAGGCAGGCTGACAGGTGTAGCAATTGCTTTTACCTGCTCTATCCCTGGCAATATGTCCAAGCCATGTGGAATAACTTAGTCAAAGTAGCAGCAAGCTTTCCTTCTAATGGCAGTAGCAGCTCTGCTGGTTTGCTTGTGGAAGGCTCTCTTTTTTATACAGACCTGGGAAAGGTACCAATTTACACAAGCAATTTTTGTAGACTAAGTAACAGGTGAATGTTGTGAGGAGAAGAAACTGCTAGCCTCATCAAAACTAAACTCAGTTACAAAGAGGGAACAATTCCAACTTGTACATTTTGCTCACAGGTTTCAGAAAACTTTAGATAAACCAAAGTATCCTCTCTTTGATCGCACAGGAAAATGGGACTTAAGATTAGATCACCTCTGAAATCCAGTCCTCTGTTGGCAACTACTATCTATCCCTTTGCTGTTTATAAATTTATCACCCAATTTCATGTGACAAGCTTTCTGTTCCCAGGACTCCTATTGAAAGCTGTTATGCAGTCTTGTTTGCTCTTCTATTTCTAGCAAACTTATTTATCTATTCATCATGAACCTACACTTGCTTCTTCTTGTATTAATATTGTTGTCTAGTTTATGCAATTAGAGGCACAGATTTTATCTATGCAAGCTGTTTACAGACTGCAGCATAGACAGACCATGTCACCTTGCGAGGGTGAGAATTCACACTTGGCCACAACCATGGCAATAGCTCCAAGTTTGTCAGAGGACAGAGTTCTGCCCTGCTGACATCATGGCTATATCACAGCAACAGATTATATTTCAGGAGCAGTAGGAGGGGATTTAAGAGAACAAAAAGAAAGATCATCTGAAAACATGTAAGAAACTTTGTGTTCGTGCTCACTAGCTATTCAGTGTTGTCAGTGTTATTTTAGAAAATATCACGTTCCTTTTTTCCCCCCTTGCAAATATTATTTCCTGATAGCATATGACTACAAGGACATGTTTTATGAGAAAAGGTTTCCAGCCTTCATTGTTGCAGAGGAAAAGCTGAAATGTGAATCCAAAGGCAAATAAAACCCTTTATCTAATATTTTAAAGGACAATTATGTGATTAATTCAGGCTTAATTAACAATTTTCTGACATTCAATGCTGTCAATAAGCAATTCTATGAAAATGCCGAGTGAAATGAATTCCAATTTTCACAATATTGTAAAAGCCACCTATGTATTTTAATGTACTCCTATGCAATAGAATAAACAAAAATTAGAAAATACAGTTTCATTCAAGACATAATTTAAAACTCATTAGGCATCAAAGAAGAGCCACAAAAATAATGAAAAGACTGAAAAACATGCCTTGTAAAACAATGGTTAAAATGACACGTTTATAAAGTTATTAAGGGGAGGTTTAAGTGATATTTGGATGAAAAGAAAAGATAACGGAAGATTGCTTCTAGATTCTTGGTACAAGAATAGATGCATTGGTCAGAACATAATTTGGGCAACTTCTAATCTGAAAATAGAAAGTCAAGCAATGAAAATAAATGGTTTCACAGAAATGTTGGTTCTACTACTGCAAAAAGAATTTCCAGATTGGATGTTTCCTTACAAGATATGCTGCAGTGAACACTAGAACATACTGAAATAAATCTTTGTGTTATACAAAATCTCAGACCAGATGATCCATCACACGAAGCTTCCTCTGTCTCCAGTGGCCTTTTTACAAAAAGGGGTGTCTTTTCAAAATAGTCAAGAATTTTTCACCTGAGCAATTTCACAAAGTTTTAAATGCCATTTTTAATTTTCCCCAAATGTGGATTCAATCTGAGTTACTTCTAATGCTTCACATAACTCAAAACAGGACTGCATCTCCAAAAGGCTAGTTGTGTCTCTAAATCATGGGTCCATCAGATAGCAAGTGATTTAGGACTGACTGAAAAATCTCCTTGGTACAGAAACAGAAGGCAAGAAGGAAAAATGGAGAGAGGGAGAAACAGAAAATTACTGTGGAAGCTATCCTAGTCTGGTATCCAGAGCACTCTACTGCTTCAGACCTGTTTTATATGCTCCATTGCAAGGTGTTCAAGTGCTCAGCAAATGAATGTATTTATGCAGAAGAGCTAGAGAAGTGCTGCTGTGGCCTAAAAGGGGTAGCCAGGCACTGAGGCAGATGGTAAACGAGTTCCCCTGGGGTCACTTGAAGTCTGGTTGAGGAGGAATGGGCATCTGTGTCTCTCAAGTTCCAAGCAGTTGTCATAAGAATTTAACTTTTTTCTTTTTTAAGCAAGAAAGTGAGAGGCTGAAATATCTCTTTGTTCTGCATTTGAAGTCCTTGACTCTCCATGAGCATTGTAATAACCCCTATAATTAATAATATACATGAAAATTGTTATAACTCTCTCATTTAGACAATAATGTGTTAAACCTGCATCATGTTCAGAAAAAAAATTAGAAGCTCTCTATTTTGATGGCAAAATTCAAGCAGGAAAGTAAGGAATTCAGTTGCAGAGCTATAACAGATATAACATGTCCCTGCAAGATTATAATTAATGCACTTAAGAAATAGTCTTGTGGCTATTACTCACCAAACGATACTTTGTAAAGTTTCAGCTGTTCTTCGTGCTTCTTGGCCAATTTATAAATTCTATTGCTATATCCTTTTAAGGCTTCTCCATAATCTCTACAGTCAAATGGAATGACTTGGGAATCTGCCAGTTCATAAACCAGTTTGCCTCGTAACTGGGCAATTGTTAGCTGTTTCTTGAAGGTGGGGTCGTAAAATTTTTCCACTAGCTCAAATGTCTCATACACAGTGTGATAAACAGGATAATTGATGAATTTGTCTGCTTTCTGGAAAAGAGCAAGCAAATTTGTCAGTGCCCTGTATTCTGACTGCAGTTAAGAGATGTATTGATCACTTAATGACTACGATGTTTTGTACAGTTTCCAAATCAAAAAAGCTATTTGCTACAAAGCACAATTTACTATCCTTCATTTTTGTGTGTTCATTTTAAGAAACTAAACCGATCTGTATCCATGGACCGTTGCACAGGATTAAGTGAGCAGGCTTCCTTCTCTCTACCTACTTCAGTTCTATTGCACAGCGATTGCCTTCATCCAGAGTGAAAGGAGTTTGGGATTTTGCATAGCAAAATTCCTTGATTGTGGCCCCTTTTTATCTTGTGTAGTTATTTCCGAACACAATCATGGAAGATTTGGATTTTAAGGGTATAGCAGGATGCTCTGCCTTAGGACGGGGTAAAACAACTTGAACAATGCCCTACTTGCAAAGCTACCAGTGGTAAATGAAGGGGGGGTCACATTGCTTTCAGTGTTGGATAATGCTGAGACTAGCCTGACTCATCAATCCCAAAGTTAAAGATCCCAGTAGTGAGAACAAGATATGGTAAACCTGGTAAAGGAACAAACAAATGTGCTACTAACAACTTATCTAGAGCTGCTGAGGTGACACAGCTGGCCTGGAGACATCTGACTGACAGTCAATCAGGCTTTAATATCATAAAAGCCCAGTCCCAAATTTTAACAGCAGGGTCTTCTAACATACCTCTTCTTGGAGTGTATGTGTGAAGATTCCTCCCTCGAGTGGAGATGCCCCTCAAGGTTACACCTCGAGGCTGAGCAAAGGAGATTTGCTCACAGTCATGTTATGGATGAGTAACATCAATCTCTACTGAATAATTGCTGTTATCTACTGAATAATAGCTTTAATACTATTGCTTTTATATTGCTTCAATATTGCTTTATAATGCACTATATTATAATAGCTGTTATAGCTCCTATACTGTGTAGTAAATAATTTTGATTAAAATCTAAAATGTCTAATCATTCTCATAATAAATCATATCTATTTATATAAATATATCTGGTTTGCCACCATTAATCCCTACGGAACAGAGTTGTACAAAGGTTCAATTACATCTCCATAATCCCTGAGACATAAACCGTTGACAAAGTCTGGGGCTAAGATTGGATCCAGCTGCACCTCAGCTCCTCTCTGAGAAGGAGTTTAGAAAGCACTAAACTTTCTGTACCTTCTGCACCTTGAGACTCAATGGGAGAGCTTCTCTAACAAACTTTGTCTGAAGCTCCCACTCTGCCTGCAACAAAGGGGCCTACTAATAGCATAGTGGAATGGACTATACACCTTCAATCAGATTCTATAAATACCTTTCTGTGAACTTGACAGCCTATAGAATATACACATCGCTGTAACATGCTTTATTCTCCAAACATTTATATTTCTTGCTAAATTAAGAAATGGCACTGATATACAAACCAGTCAAAGATGCTTTGAAGCTTTTTTAGCAATTATGAATAAATGCTTTGTAGAGGATGACTGCTCAGCACTATCAAACAATCCAGCAGACTTACCCTATTCTTGGTATAACGAGCTCTGCCTGATGCAATTCCCAGTCGCTGAAAGTAAGCTTCAAAATCACTGCCTGAACCCAGTTTATTTATTCTACATGTAGAAAAGACAACATCTTAGAGAGAGCACTTACTGAACGGTATGGTAGTAATTTATGCAAAATGCAGATTTTTCAGAGAAATTGAGGTCAGTTCTTCTGGAGGGCACAGCAGAGACACTTGTAAGATCAGAGACTAGATGAGTGGCAAGCGTAATTACTTAACTGGTTTTAGTCCAACACACATATTCAGTATCCATTATTTCTAGGAAGATCTTTTAAAGGGAGCAATCCTGATTATGACACTGACAACATTTTAAAAGCCCAACAAAACACATTATGCACAGAAGCCATAAAATTGTATCAGGCATGTCTCTGCCGTCTTTAAACATCAATCATCTATTTCCAAACTAATATGAATTGGGCAGTAATATATGTAAAGACAGATGTGTTTATGTACTTAGCACATTCCACAGTAGAATCCAAGCCTGATAAATAATTTCCACTGCGGAAGGCACGAGAAGCATTTGGTACCTACGGGTCACTACTGCCATCTGGTGGGGACGTGTGGCATGGCGGGGGAAGAAAATGGTAAAGCTAGATCTAATATTCTGAGTATTTCCAAACATTTACGTTTGATATTGAGTTTTAGATTTTATGTCTATCCTAGTGAATAATCAGTCTTTCTCAGCTAAAAAAAAAGAAAAAAGAAAAACCAAGTTTTTTTCTGTTCCAGCTGAAGCTCTGTTAGTACAAATTTGTGCAAGGAACTATTTGTATCAACTGAGAAAGATCAGATCTCATAGCTTTTTAAAAAAGAAGAAATCGCAGAGGGTCGAATGAATCCAGAAACTCATCTGAGCAGGGCAGAAAGATAGGGTGACACATGGTCAAATCACACAAAGGGGCAGTTCTGTTTACGTTACATGAATAATGCCACACTGTGAATAAGATT